AAAATCTGAAAAAAGGAAGAAAAAGTGGGGAAAGGGAACAAAGAACAGATGGGATACATAGAAAATAAATGGATTGATGGTAGATTTAAACCCAATTGTTATAAGTTGAGTTGTACCCCTCCCCACACCAAATTTGTATGTTGATGTCCTAACTCCCAGTATCTCAGAATGTGACTGTATTTAGTGATAGGGTCTTTAAAGAGGTGATTAAGTTAAAATGAGGCCGTTAGTGTGGCCCCTGATCCAATGACTGGTATCCTTATGAAAAGAGGAATTTGAGACACAAACACACACAGAGGGAAAGAGAGAAGACAGCTTATCTACAAACCAAGGAGACAGAACTCAGAAGAAACCAAACTTGCGAACACCTGATCTAGGATTTCGAGTCTCCAGAACTGCGAGAAAATTGAATTAGAAGGCACCATATTTAAGGAGTCATATTTGGTCTTGATGGTAGATCACAGCATCCTAGGCTCCCAGCCTGATGCAGTGGTTGAATGAGACTTTGGGGTGTCCCGGGATGGAGGGTGACTACTTTGCATGTGGTGGGGACATGAATAATTATGACCAGGGGGAGGACTGTAGTAAGATGATGCCATTAATGTGTCCTCCAAAAAGATAGGCTCAAGTCCTAACCTTCAGTACCTGTGACTGTTAACTTATTTGGAAATACAGTCTTTGCAGGTGTTATTAGGTTAAGGTAAAGATTACTGGATTAGGGCCCGCACACAGAGAGAGGGAAGACTGTCATGTGAAGATGGAGACAGAGATTGGAGTGATGCCAAGGAATGCCAAGAACCCTTAGAAGCTAGGAGGAGACCAGGACCTTCCCTAGAGCATTTGGAGGGGTCACGACCCTGCCAACACTTTGATTTTGGATGTCTGACCTCCAGAACTATGAAAGAGTAAATTTCTGCTGTTTAAAGCCATCCAATTTTTGCTATAATACTTTGGATAAGAGTACCTACTTCATAGGATTTCTGTGCATTAATTATTAAGTTAATCCACATTGATATTTAGAATAGTGTCTGGCACCTACTGATAGCTCAATAGGTGTTTTAGTCAACCACGGACTGCATATATGTGGACCCATACGATTATAATAGAGCTGAATTTTCTGTAGGAAACGAAAGGAAATGTGGTTCAGGAGAAATTTTTTGTTCTTCCTAATGGGATCAGTATCTGTGGGGCTTGGCAATAGATCCCTCTCACTCACAGCACCTCAATTTTGAGTGCATACCCCAGTCAGTCAGCCACTGACCTATTTCAGCACAGAGAAACCTGTCCCCCCAACACTCCATATTCAGAGGGCACTACAGCCCTCCCAGGTGTAGCTTGATGGCCTTCAGAGTTCATTGCTGTAAATTCTTTGATGAGGACCTAAGATCCTGTACAAGAATACAGGTCCACAGAAGCCAGTACTAATCTATGCATTTCAGGGGCGGTTCCTGGCACACTGTCAGTTTAGTAAAAGCTTTCTGTGGTAGAGTGGAGCCAGCCTGTCCCTGTACTTTGGAAATATTTTCAGGCTGTAATGATGTAAAGCATAGATAAGTTTTATTTCTTCCATCAATTCAATGCCAGAGAGAGCCCTTTGTTCCAGATAGGGTCAATGGAACCAAAAGCAAATTTCCGAAGTCAAAATACTGAGTCCTCAGTGTTTCACCCTCTCCATGTTAAACACCCTAAAAAAACCCCATGAATGCTACAAAGTTCCTTAACCTGACCACTGCTCCAACATGCAATAGCCCAAATCACATTGTCATGATAATCTCCTATGTTCCTGGATCTCTCCATCTTGATTTCTTATTCCTACTGATCCTCAGCCCCCCTCTCACTCCCTCCTGACAGTCACTGTTATGGTGACCTATGCCTTATCCAGCCAGTTGCTCCTTGATATTTCCAATCAATCCAGCCCACATCCCTGTTCTTGCAGCAGCTACAATGTTCTATTTCCAACACTGTCAGAAGAAAGCAGGGGGAGGACTTGTGGGACAATGTTTATAAAGTCTACAGTGGCTGACAGTAATGTTCTCAGCCTTCACATTCACTCAGCACTCACTCAGTTACCCAAAACAACTTCCTGTCCTGTAAGCTCCATTCATGGTAAGTGCCCTATACAGGTGTACCACTTTTTAATCTTTTATACTGTATTTTTACTGTATCTTTTCTATATTAGGTGTGTTTAGATACACAGATACCATTATGTTATCATTGCCTACAGTATTCAGTATAGTAGCATACTGTCCAGGTTTATAACCTAGAAGCAATAGGCTATATCATATAGTCTAGGTGAGTAGTAGGCTATACCATCTAGGTTTGTGTAAGTACATGCTATGATATTTGATGAAATTGCCTAATGATGCATTTCTTAGAATGTATCACCATCGTAAAATGATGCATGATGGTATTATTTTATCATCTAACTTAATCTTCTATGCATTTCTGGGGCAGTTCCTGGCACATTGGTGCTTCATAAATTCTAATTTCCCTTTCTGGCCCCTTCACAAAGTTGGTGTGAGCTGTCATTTTATTACATTTCCCCATGCTCCCCAACAAGTTGTAGCTTAAATAGTCTTGGCCTACCTGCACCACCCAGAAGAATGGCTGCCTACCCAGATGAGGCCAATGGCAGAGAGAAAGCAAGAGAGAGCGTGTGGATGCAAGAATACCGTAGAAGTAGAATCCATGAAGATTTGTTTTAATTAGAAGAAGTATAAGGAAGAAGTAGGAACTACAAATGGTTTTGAAACTTCTTAAGTGGGTAACTCCATGATGGTGGTGACATTTCCCAAACAGGGGACAGTGGAGAAGAGGCAGATTGGATAGGAACTATGGAAGAAACTAAACTTTTGTATCTTAAGTTGGAGATGCTGGTGGAGTAAACAAGTGGAGATATCTAGCAGAAAGCTAAAAATAAGAATTGGATTTCAAGAAGTGTGGGCTTTTTTAGTGCTGATGGAAGGAACTGACACCATGGAGCTGATATGATTTGTGGGGGAGAAGTTCACTTAAGTAGAAAAGCGGGCTGATGGCTGTCGACATCTTTTGAACATTTCCATCTTTCTGTCCTGTGGGAGTCACAAAATCAGCATGTCCAAAGTGGAATTAATCATCTTCCCAGCAAACCTATTTCTCTTCTTGACTTCTCTAGCTGTACAAATGGCACTAACCACTCTCTTATTCACTCTGGCTCAAACTTTAGTCATCTATGTCTCCTCCCTTAATTCTTTATGCAGTAAGTTTCCCCTATAGAAAATTCTGAAAAATCCATAAAAACAACAAGTAGTTGTTGATAATGGAACTATTTTCGATGATTTTTAGTGTATCATCCTGGTCATATTCCTATGCAAGTATAGATTTTATTTCCTTTATACATGCATAGAGTCATATTCTACAATACACTTTTAGCGTAACAGTTTTATTGAAGTATAACAGTCATGCAGAAATGTGCACAATCAGAAATTGATGACCTCTTATGTCCTTCAATGTTCTCCCACATCCATTTCACAAGACCACAAGGTATTCCATCCCATAGCTGTCCCGTAATTTAGATAACCACGGTTGCAGGATTTCTGGCTTTATTCTAGTCTTCTCACCTATCCCTCCACAATGCCGCAAAGATAGATTTACCAGCATTTAACATTTTTGTGCCCATTTCCAATTTTTCCTTAGAATAAAATTCCTAGAGGGAGAATTTCTGGGTCAAAAGGCATGTGCATTAAAAAACACAAACTTTTAATTTTAGAATTGTTTTAGGTTTACAGAGAATTACAAAGACACTACAAACAGTTCCTATATACCCCTCACCTAGTTTCCCCATTAACATCTCATGTTAGTATAGCATGTTTGTCACAATTAAGGAACCAATATTGAGATATCATTAGTAACTAAAGCATGCTTTTTCCAGATTCATTCTCTCTCTCTCTCTCTCTCTCTCCTCTCTTTCCCTCTCCCTCCCTCTCTGCCTCCCTCCCTCCCTCTCTCCTTTTTTGCTGTTCCAGTATCCCATTCAGGACACATTACATTTAGTTGTCATGTTGCCCTGGGCTCCTCTTGGTTGTGACAGTTTCTCAGACCTTCCTTGTCTTTGATGACCTTGACAATTTTGAGGAATACTGGTCAGGCATTCTGTAGAATGCCTCTTTTCAATTGAGGTTTGCCTGATTTTCTTCTTATGATTAGACTGGGGTTATGGGTTTTGGAAGGGAAGAGATAAAATACCACTCTCATCATATCTGGTCCACATACTGCCAACATGATTTATCACTGTTGATGTTAACCTTGATCACCTAGCAGAGGTAGTATGTGTCTCGTTTCTCTACTATAAAGTTACTCATACCCCCCCTTACTGTACTCTTTGGAAGGAAGTCACTATGCACAGGGCACATTTAAGAAGTCGGGAGTTAAGCGAGAGGGTGGAATATCTACATAAATTACTTGGAATTCTTGTGCTTTACAGAACTATCTCTTCTCGTTTATTAATTTATTTATATCAGTACTCATATCATTACCTTATAGCAGTATTAACTCATGGATATTTCATTTATACTTGGAGTTATAATCCAATAGTACTTCGTTTTTCGTTGCTCAAGGCATGTGTATTTTTAATACTCTGAGGAACTCACTGAATAAAGCTACCAAGCCAAAGGTTGTACCAACTCTAATGGTTAAAATGAGGATCCGTATCCCCTCAACTTCACACACCCTTTATACAAATACAGCAGCAAGCAAGGGCGAGGCCTACGCCCTTCCCTAGCGCCCAATTTCCTGATGCCCCCCAAAGAAGATGAGGTTAGCATGGGGGATCCTTCCCCAGATGGGCACCTCACCCCAGCCTAGCCGCGGCCCTAACCGCAGCCCCTTCTAGTCCACTCTCTGGCCTCCGGGGTTCCTCATGGTCCCGCCCTCTTTAGGGCGGAAGTTAGCCTGGCCGCGGGCCGGAAGCGCTGGACCGGGGCGGGCTCTCTCACGCAGGCAGCTCCTCCCACTTCGCCACTGCCCCACCCCACCGGCCTATACCGGAAATGAGGTCAGAAGGGGGAACCCCGGCGGGGAGACTCGGCCAAAAAGCGGAGGCCGGTGGAGGTACCTGCGGCAGCTGGTGAGGGGGAAATGTGGGTTGAGAGGGTCGGGGTACAGGGGGCCGGCCCCAGTGGGGCTCCGGGACCCTGGCCGCGGGTGAGCGGCCAGAGGTTCCGTGAGGCCGCGGCGGCCGGGGGGAGGGGCGAGGATGGTGGGGCCTTGCTTTTCAGGGCCCATCGCCTCTGTCCCTGGGGATAAGAGTCGGGTCGTTTCCGGGGCGACCGTCCCCTCCTCTTTTTTCCTCTTTATGGCTCTTTTTGGGCCGGCGACCGCGTGAGGGCTTGGTGGCCAGAGCCTTGGTCGTCCTAGTCCTCGGGGGCGGGCCGGGGCGTTAGTGAGTCCTTCGAAACACGCTTTTTTTCCTCACGTATGCGGCCAGGTTGCAACCCCTGCACGGAGACAGCTTAGCTGCCAGTACTTGCTTTTGCGCAGTTTCTGCCCTAAAAGGGCTGACCACCCCCTCATTCCCCACCCGCTAACCCCCTGCCCCTGGTGATCACGAGTGAGAAGTCTCCTGCCTTTCCTTCCTCCTCCGCCCCAACCCAGTCTAGTCTCCCCCTCCGACCCTACTCCTGCGTCTCGTATTTCTACCGATTTCCCCTTCCTTTGCGCGACTCATACAGCCTTTCCTCTCCCTGAATGTTTGCCTGGGCCCGAGGATCCTCTGGGACTGTGCCTCCGAGGCTGGAGGTGTGAGAGTTCCAGGGTTCTTCTGTCACTTTCCGAATTAGAGGCAGGAAAAGATTCTGCACAGGCATTCGACTACCAGTTGTTTAGTAACGTAGTTACACATTAAAGTTTGTGCAGTTCTGCCTGAGTTTTTAAAGCAGTCGTTCTTTATTAGGGAAGTCGATTTAGACATGCTGTCCCCACTTGTTTATGTGTTTTGGCCTTAGGGACAGTTGTCTCCCAAACCCCAGTCATGGCGTTTTTTAAACTACTTATTTCTTAAAGGGAAGTGGTCATTTTATGTGTGGCTTTTGACACTTTGAGAAGTTTTGTTTGGTTGGTAGTTTTGGAACTAGATGTCCCCATTGCTCCCACCGTTGTGGCAGATAAGCCAGCGGGCTGTTTTCCTGCCCTTGAGTTCGTTGGCATAGGGACAGCTTTTAGAAAGTTTTTTTGCAAAATGTAAACTGCATGAACGGAAATATGGTCTGAGAGTGGCGCCATGCAGAGCTTTACGCTCTAATTATCGTCTAGAAATACTTTGGGCTTAACAAGGGCTAGGGAAAAGTCCTAATTTAATATGTATTTAATTAGGTGTTGTATAAATTATATTAGACATTTCCCTGTAAAGGGCATTTTGAAAATTGCTCTTACTACTTTCATCCCTTTGGAAGATTTGCCTCCGAAGTGACCCTGAAGTATGATGGTTTGACAAGAATGAATAGAAAAATAGAGAATTTTGGAAAGCAGTTAGCTAGAAATCTTAGAGACTCCACACACCCCGTTCAGTCTCAGTTATATCCTGTTTTTGTGTGATTGTCTAGTACTATAAAGCACATAATTAGGATGGTCACTTAATTTATTTTCTGAAGGATGGGGAGAAGAGTTTAAAAGTTGCTAATTATTAAGAAATACATGCCATACTCTATAAGGGTCTTTACCTGGTATCTTCCCGGTGGTATGGGGACCAGAATGGGTGTAAACTTAGTCTCTTTGTTTCCATTCAGCGTACAAACCTGGGCCACTGCAAATTCTCGGGTCACTAAAACTGCAAGCCGTCTTAAAGAGTGTCATTAGGTTGTCTTTCTGTTCCCTTCCACAAGCATTCTTATTAGTAATCCCCACCCATAAAATAGCCTTTCATCCATGGCTTTGAAGTTGTGTGTTTTTCTGCTTCTTTCTGATGAGACATTCTCTAATCTTTTTGGATCTCATCATCAGGTAATTTAGTGACAAATTTAATTAGGGAAAAAGGGGAAAGATTTATTCCCCTGAGTTTGCTTGTTTTTGCTAATATTCCAGTTGTCATCTGGTGAGTGTTTGGGTTTTTTGTGCTTAAAAACTTGTTGACTTCAGGCATTTAACCAGGGCCAGAGACCTATTTTCAGTGGCCAAAATGAGCATGGATGGTAGGAACAGAGTCTAAATGTAGCCAGATGAAAGGTGACTTTATTTTCTATAGATAGGGACTCTGCAGTGCCATGATCTATTTTATAAAGTTATTCTAAAACAACAGATCCTGTTCAGGCTCTCTTTTTCTTTTTTTGTATTCCTTTTGGCAGATGTGGCCTCATGGATGAGCTGGTACATGACTTAGCCTCAGCCTTGGAGCAGACATCTGAACAGAATAAGCTTGGTGAGCTGTGGGAGGGTATGGCCTTGAGCCCTCGGCAGCAGAGGCGGCAGCTTCGCAAACGGAGAGGCCGGAAGCGCCGTTCAGACTTCACTCACCTGGCAGAGCATACCTGCTGCTACAGTGAGGCCTCTGAGTCCAGCCTGGATGAGGCCATTAAGGACTGTCGAGAAACGGCCCCAGTCACCAATTTTAGTGATTCTGATGACACAATGGTAGCCAAACGGCACCCAGCTCTCAACGCCATTGTTAAGAGTAAGCAACATTCTTGGCATGAATCTGACTCCTTTACCGAAAATGCACCCTGTCGACCACTCAGGCGCCGGCGGAAGGTGAAGCGAGTGACATCAGAGGTGGCTGCCAGCCTTCAGCAGAAGCTCAAGGTGTCAGATTGGAGTTATGAGAGAGGATGTAGGTTCAAGTCTGCTAAGAAGCAGCGTCTGTCACGCTGGAAGGAGAATACCCCCTGGACCTCGTCAGGCCACGGATTGTGTGAATCAGCAGAAAATAGGACTTTCCTCAGCAAAACAGGAAGGAAAGAAAGGATGGAGTGTGAAGCAGATGAACAGAAGCAGGGCTCTGATGAGAACATGTCAGAATGGTGAGATCTCCCTTACTAAGTGAAAGATTTTCCTGGTTAATTTTGCCCAAAGCACAAATCTACAGTCTTGATGAGTTCAACTTGCTTTCAAACCTGCCACTGTAATATTGATTTTATAGCCCTCCTTTAACCAGTCAGCCAGTATTTATTTCTAGCTTTTTAAAGAACATTCATGATTCTATTTCCCTATGTCAAGAAGGCTATAATGTAATAGAAACACATTTGCTTCTAAAACTTGTTTAAAACGTGTACCTCAAATGCACAACCAGAGTTTTATTTTAAAAACAGTTTGCTGCTGTTTATGCCATGTAGTTCATACATAGGTACTGTTCTTTAGAACCAGGGTCTCAGCAGAGGCTGGTGTGAGTGTGTGTGTGTGTGTGTGTGTGTGTGTGTGTGTGTGTGTGTAAATGTGTAAGTAAATGCTGGTGCCAGGTATATGGGATTTTTACGTGTTCCTAGGAAACTGCCTTTGCTCACTAAGAATCATGGCTTCAGATAATTCTGGCTTATAATTCTGTTCTCTGCTACTTAGTTTGACTGTATTGAGTTTGTTTTTTATGGTTGACATTCAGATTGTCTAAACACATGGAAGGCATTGATTATAACAGTACCGGGTCCCATTAGTCTTATGCCAAATGCCATCGAGCCAGAAAAATTTGTCTTTAATGGGTGCACGTTTAAAACATGAGTGTAGTTTTTATTTTTACTCGTCTTGGGAACATTGCAACTCCCCAGCTTGATACATTATTACTACCACTATTATTATTATTATTATTATTATTATCTGATAGCTGTTGGTGTTTTGGATGCGCAGTTCTTTGTGGTGAGGGACTGTCCCATGCCTTGCGGGATATATGGCATCTCTGTGTTGTTCCCACCCACTTAATAGTATCAAATGAAATGCCTCCATGTGTGCTCCCTAAGAGGGCTGAGTAGTCCCAGTGGAGAGCCATTTGTATTCTATTATTTACGTGGCGCTAACCATGTGCCAGGCACTGTACTGTTGTGCATAACATATATTCTTACATAACGTTCACTGCCCCACTGTATGGTAGGTACCGCTGTTGTATTTTATGGAAGAGGAAATGGAGGATAAGAGTGGTCAGATACTCTGCCCAAGGTCACCCAGTGGCAAAACTGGGAATTAAACCTGGTTCCAAAACTCATGTGGAACCATCATGTTTTCTTGCCCTTTGACTTTGCCTTTTCCATGGCTCTTTTTCTGCCTTATCTCAACTTTTACAGCCTTAGAATGTATGACCTTCCTTAGGACTTTGCTTCTTCTGAAGTTTGTCTGAAAAACAAAGACATAAATCTTGGGAACTCTGAGGTGAGGCTGTGTCAGTAACAGGAAAAGCTGGTTAGGTCTGTATGCCTGTACCTTTCACGCGTGGTCTTTAGTCCAACTTTACAATTCTTTCTTATTAACTTTATATTAACCAGTCTGCACAACTGGGTAGGCTTATAATTTGGCTTTCCTAATTTTCCTCTAATATATTCTAAGGCCTACTTACCCAATTTATATGTATAATTTGGGGTTATCAAGATGTTTTCCCTCATCATGCTATTTTTAATGAAATAATAAGTGCTTGGTCAACTTGAGCCTTTTTACAGTATTGAAGCCCTCAGTTGAGGTGTTCGTTTGTTTCAATATTGAGCATACATAGCAAATAGTAATCTTCTTACTGCTGAGAATGGCTATTTTAAAAATCGTGCTTTGGGATGGTATCTTGTGTATATTTCTTCCCTAGAGTTTCTTGTTAAGCCATGACATAATTGTGTGTGTGAGAGAGTGTGAACTCTGTCTGCTCTAGGATAACAGCCCAGGTACGGGTCCAGACACCGAGCCTGTGATCTAGCAGTGAGGCACTTGTGTCTTTTTGGTTCCTTCTTACCACGGACACATCTACTGCACATTAGAGACAGGTTGTGATACTATACTTTCTTGGTCTCCGAGAGCCTGTATAAATTGAAGTAGGCAGCAATAATTATGAAATTCTTACTCTTTTCAAATCGAGTAGACCTTGTTTCCCCATTTGGGCAATCTCTCTGGTCTATGACTTTAGAGATCTTCCAGAAATGTGGATGCTGAAGTCCTTGCAGTTTTGAGGGAATTGGTGGACTAGTAGCAGAAATAGAATGAGAAAAATTCTTCAGCATTTAATTATTTAGGAGTCTTAAATTCTCCTTGACTTATGTTGATGCATCTGTAGTTACAAACAGAAGTGCTTTATACTTTCCCGCCTAAATCTACTCTATGGGGAAAGAGGGGTGATTCTTACTTATTCTTTAACTGCATATTATGTTTAGTCTCTTAAGAGTAAAGTGGAACTAAAAATCTACTGCCCTCAAATAGTAAGCACACCTTATACACAGTAGCACTAGAGTGTGTATAAGTAGATAATGGTTTATGATTTGGATATTATACTGTCTTGGTGAGTTGTTGATTCTGTCATCATTTTCCGACTTTTTTCTGCATTAGAAGAAATACTTTCAAGAATCCTCTTAGTTGCTCTCATAAATCTGCTTGGATGTGCCAGTTTATTCACATAAAGATCAAAGTGTAGAACTTTATCTGTGGTATTGAAGGTTGTCAGAGTGTACTTGTATGTGATCCAACTTGTAAAATGATTAGGATGAAGCTGACCATTAAGCTTAGCTTAGCCTAGTCAGTGGATAGATAGAATCTTTTAAAAAGCATGAATAGGTATTTTAGGTTTGAAAATGTATGTCTCAATCAGAGAGCTTTATTTCTAATTTCCTTAAATTTACTCTGCTAACTAAACATGGAGCAGCTTTAAGCTTAACCAGTAATTCTTTCTGCTTTTCTCTTTCTGTTCTTCCTTCAGTTCTATACCAACCAATTCCTCAAGAGTTCTGAGGAACTAAAAGTGGTTATGATGTAATAGTTTTCTTATGCCTGCAAAAAGATCAGTTACTATTTTAATATTTTTCAGTGCTTGTGTGTTCCATTCTAAAATGGAACAACTGTTTTGTAAAATTACTTTTTGCTGATCTTTATTCAAATTGCCTATATAGCAGCTATTAATTAGGTAGTTCATGGGCTAATTTTGCTCAATTCTTCACTGACACATCATTCGTTTGTTCCATTTAAATAGAGTTTAGTTTCTTTTCTTTCCTAAGTGAATTGGTTTGGTGATGGGCTGAAGTTGCAGTCAGGAGCCTTTCCTAAGGTGATGTATTAGAGGCCGACCTTACAGGAAAGAAAATATTCCCTTGTCTTGGAAGGCAAGTGACAGAGATAGAGTGCTAAACCTTCCCCCTCCTCCTCCAGCCCGAGCTGACCTTCTGCGGCCCCTTGGTGCCTCTTGTTTTCTTATTTTTATAGAAAATCAATATCCCTTCTGACACAAACAATAGCTCAGAAGCAAGAATAAATGGGAGAAAGCTGAGATCTCTGTCCATCAGCTCTCACTTTAACTCCCCCAAACTCTTTAATTATGAGTGTGCTTTGCTCCCGGTGTTTGTGACAGTGAAATTGCTAAATGAGGACCATTTTAACCAAAGATTGGGTGATCAATAACACTCTATAGCAGTAGCTTGTCGGATCAATAGCATTCATTATTTCATGGTTAAGGTAAGTAGCCTCCTTTGCAAGTGGAGGTCATTAATCAGGAGTTACTGGAGCTGTGGAAAAGAATATATGTGGTAGGTTGAAGCTGTTCTTTTTTTCTGTTCTGCAAATAGGGATGCTGACCAGGAGTATATTTACCATTGCTGCAAGTGGTACAATTGCATCTGAGAGTATTGAATAGCTCGCATAGTGTGCTTGTATAGATTTAATCAAAGTTTGCTAGGACATCCTTAGGAAGAGCTGAAAAGGATGACATGGGAGGTAGATTTCATACTATTGTATTTGAGGATCTGTCTCTTGAAAGATGTGTTAGGGTTATTTTGTTTGGCTCCAGAAGAAGGAACTAGGACTCATAGATAGAAAGCATAGAGAGCTAAGTGTTGCCTCTGTATAAAATATAACATTCTAAAAATTAGAACTCTGTAAAAATGAAGTGAATTGTTTCACCAGGTAATGAGTTCTAGATGCCTGGAGGCATTCAAGCCTGGGCATAGTGACCACTTACTGAGTTATTGTTAAGTTGGAGAGGTTGAACTGAATGACCTCTAAAGTCCCATGCCACACTGAGATTCTGTAATTCTTCTCAGTCACAACCTCCTTCCCATCACTTGAACTTCAGTTTTTATAAAGCGTCTGATAAGCAGCCTCCACTGCCCACTAAAACACTTATGAAGGCATAAAACGTTGCAAACTCACATCAACAGAAACTAGGATTTACAGTCGTCCTTTTGCCAAGATTTCCCCAAACTACAAGGCTGGTAGAACCACGCTGGAGAGTGCAGTCAGAAGCCTGCATCAACCGTGCCGAGCTTGCACTGCAGGTGGACAGCGAGGCCCTGCCTCCTTTCTCTCTAGTCAGCCCTTGGTTCAGAAATGCAGGATCCACTGCATTCAGGAAAGTGGGCAGCTGCAGTTTGAGTCTAGTGTTGTTCCATCCTTTACTTCCCAATCAGTGTCTTTCAGTTTCTATTTGGGGGCTGTAACTTCCAGAATACACTTGGATAGCAAATCTTAGCGTTTTCTGTGTGTGTATTTGTGTTTGGGGGTAGGAGACAGTCACAGCATATCGAGTCCTAGGAAATAGAATCTCCAAGAATAAAGTTTACTGTTGGCATGGGCAGAGAAGGAAAAAGCACTCAGAGTAGAAATTGTAGTGTTTTATACACCTTCATTTGGCGCAGACTCCTAGAATGGGGTCAGACTCAGGCAGTGAGGGTTAGAAGGTTCTGTCTCAGCCCAACATAGCTATATGAGACAAAAACCTACCAGTGATGCTGGGAATTAGCCTCGGGGGTCTGTACGTCCCCTTCGCCAGTTGTAGTTGTGAGAACATGTTACCCATATCCTCGGGAATAGATAATGGGGCCAAGGGTAATTTACATACCCTTTCTGTTGGCAAATA